GAGTGGCTGTTGGCGTCAGCTGACAGGGGGCCAGCCCCACGAACCTTAGATACTCTAGCAGAAAGGGGTGGAGCGGAAAGCGGAGCCCCATCTCCATTGACAAGGTATGAACAACGAAGCAGCCCTCGGGTGCGTATCGTAACAGATCACCGGCCCCTGGCTCCACCACACGCGCCGAAGGGCCAACCAGAATTTGTGTGGCCTGATATTCGGCCGGAGATGCCCTCGTCTTCAATTCTAGGGCAGCGGTGTTCAAGAAGGAGTGGCCTTCGGGGATACCTACTGGCCGTTCAGCGTCCACGGCTACTTGTTTCTTCTTCGGAGCCGCCCTCATCTTCTTCTTTTTCCCGGGAGCCACACTGATGGGCGTCGGGTCCAAAGGCCGGGAGGTGCTAGTTTCCCAGCGTTACGTGCGGGATGGACAACAACTGTGACTTTCATCCTCTCCTCCTTTTGCGCCTCCTCCTCAGCTACTTGGAAGGCGATGGCTAGCTCCTCGTCTTCGCACACCTGCTCAAAATCCTCGGTCTCGGCTTCGGCAACGAGGTCTTTTTGTACTTCCATGGCTACGGCCGCGTCACCGCTCATCGAAGGCTGCCCACTGGAAGATTCTACGTCTGAGACGCTTTCCACCTCCACCGAATCCTCCCTCGATATGTATTGGGAATCGCTAGCTGAAGTCATGATTGTCCGAGGGGTACAGGGGACGAGAGTCCTAAGGCTATAACACTTAATCTAAGGTCGCGAAGCTAAACTTACTGATACGACAAGGAATGGATGGAAGACTGACCTTAGAAAAGAGGATTTGATCGGGGGCAAGTTTCTCTCTCTAGAAATATTTCGGCAGAGCTTCGCTAACAATGAAATCGCACAAGGAAAATGGCCTTGGCCTTGGGGTATTTATAGGCACCCAGATCCGGGCTTGGGCCCAAAACCGGGCCTCCAGTTAACAAAGTCATCATTACGCGTCGTCCCTTCCGCCAACCGGTGACACCCGCTCGGAGCTAGCCAACAGCCACACGCCACGTGGAGGTCCTCTCCAACGACTATTTTTTAAACGCTCCATATGCCAACGGTCTGATTGCAACGGCTATATTTTGAGATCACAGAGGTGCTCCCGGTCTGTACCCCTCATACTACCTCACAAGTGCCTTCGGGCTCCCTCCTTTAGAAGCCCACGGCTTAACAACGGGTTTACCCCTCGGGAACCCTCAGCCCTCAACGCATTGAGGGCCAGGAAACCCCGGGGGGAACACACCTTCATCAACTGTCGGCCCCGGCCATGCAATAAGGAGACCCCTCGGGAACATCAAATTTAAAACCCCTTTCTAGGTGGACAGCCTTCGGTATACAACAACGGACCCCTCGGGTGCCCTCATCCCCAGCTTGCCAACAGCTAGAGACCCCCCAGCAACATAGCGACTACCACTACGTTTATCACGCCCTCGATCCCATGGATTGAGGGACTCCCCTTCGGCATCTCCCGAGATATTAACAAAGCGCATTCGGCAAATCAACACACACGCCCTCAGACAAAGATAACCCTCGACGACAATACTGTCATCCATTTCGAACCAAGGTTTCACCTTTTCGATTCATCATTGGGGGAATTCGGTGCACTCTTTTTCCCTCATTAGAATTTTTTCCCACAGGTTTTTTTCTAATGAGGATTTTAACGAGGCACCCCCCCAAAATGAAACGAAAAGCGTCGGCCTTCGGCATCGTGATAACAATGGGCACTACTCTACTCCTCTTCACCACATTACATGTGCCTCAAGGAGTAGGGGACTTGAGGACCCCTTCGGTAATAATCACAAAACGCAAATGTCAATGTCAAAATCTCCCCAAAGCAGCAACATAATCCTTCAAGTCCCAAAATGTGGGGGACTGAAGGACTACCCCCGGCAGAATCAGGCGCAAACGTAAATCTCTCACAGGTTTACAAGCTACAAGCAAGACAGCGTCAGAGGACAACCGCAATTACTCTTTTTCCCTCAAGTACCTTTCGGCAAAAGGAGTGAGGGACTCCTGATGGAGTATATGGCCCAGGAACCCTCGGTCCATAGACTCCCACTACCACAGTGAAGGCCCAAAAGGTCCAGGAAGCGCAGCAGGCCCAAATCACAGCGCCCCAAGTGCCAAACAGCCCACGACGAGCACTGGGGTGCCTTCGGCCCCCTGTCCGAAGGCTCATGAACTTACAACACAGCTTCTTTTGAGCACCCAAAGTGTCTGGGAGAAAACAGTGAAAACAGCAGCCCTCGGCACCTGGGGGCCCCCCGAAATGGAGATCCCTCGGTCAATCATCTACGACCGAAGGCTTCTCCTCGACATAATCTCCCACCCACATGCGCTGGATCAACGTACCGAGTACAAACGTCACATCCAACCACCACATTTAATGCGGCCACATGCGAGTGCCGGTGCCACCCCATTGAGGTGACCCCTCGACCACCAGAATGATGACACATGTCCCTATCTGGCATTTATTACTACTATAAATAACACCCCTTTTCCCATTTGTAATCCATGTTCAATACGCTCACTACATTCTCAGCAATATATATTCTCTCTCTTACTTTTGCTCTGACTTCTCTCTAGTTACTCCCCGCGGTAACCCCTCGGATTGATACCCCCCGGGTACACCTATCCATCAGTGATTTACAGAGGAAAAGAAAAGAGATTTTGTTGATAGTCTCTCACAATTTTGATAGCTTCCATAGTGGAGTTTTTTCGATATATCAATTGGCTCTAAGCTAACATATAATTGTTGTTAACATATCATCAAGCTGCTGCACTTTATTATGAATGGTTCATTTCATAAATTGCAGACATGTATGATAGCAAACTATTTTTACATCAAATTAATGTAAAAAATATTCTAGCATCATCATCATAGAGCAAATATCAGCCGTTAGCAGCAGTTGGAGCACATGTAAAACTGATTTTGACATCTAAAACGTGTTAGCAACAGTTAGCTAATGTATCACAATTATTGGGTATTTATTCTTGGGCATATATTGACAGATTCCATATTAAAACATGTCAAAATGGCAAATATTTTTTACATGTGTGTAAACAAATCATTAAACAAAATTGAAATGCATAAGCTTTTATTTTAGAAATTCAAACTGCAGATTACATTGTCAATGTTACTTCAATCCCGTAGTTACAAGAACCCCACGGTTAGAATTCTACAATTTAATTCTTTCCTTGTAGTACATACAACATCATAGCCATTGCTACCACAAAAAACGCAATTACAATTGTAGTCAACCATATATAAGTCCTCCGTTTTTGAATTTCAGATTGCAACGCCGCTCGTAACTCACGAACTTCAGCTCTTAACCCAAAAACTAGCTTTTTGCCCTCCTCACAGTTCAACTCTGAAGTTTCCCATTTAGCATCACTTTCTTCTTTTTAAGAAAAGAACCTGCATCCTCCTCCATGCACCTATGTATAAAATCATGAAAATAAAAACATATGCACATATGTATACAATCGATTCACAGAACCACCCCAACCAAAATATTCCTCCAAATTAAAAATCGATAAAGAATATATTTTAAATAAATTATTCCCACAAAATCCCCCAAAACGAAAAACAATTTCGTAGAACTAGTTCACAAACACTTAATTTCCATCGTTGGCACCCATAGAACTTGCGGCCACTTTCCCTTCCCACACAACAAGGCGCTTTTAATCCACATTAACAATAAACAACATGTTCGTAGTAGAGGTTAGGAATCGCCCTTGGATTTGAGGTGAATATAGTTGAAGATATGCTGAGCCTGAAGAATTTGACGTGAATAAGCTTTGAGATGAACCCTAGCTTCTTGGGAGACCGGCGTTTAATGAACGTAAGGCCTAGCTTGGTCTTGTAAAATCAACTATAAGGGGTTAACGTGGAATAAAAATGAAAGATTTACTAAAATCAGGGACATGTAAGCATTAACCGGGATTAGGCGGTTCTTTAACAGGGTCATTATACCTCATTTGATCATTTTTTGAATGTAAAGATATGTGTGCGAACACGTTTTTGAGTAGATGATCCTATGTGACGATTTTAGGATAATGAAAGACCTTATTTGTCCTAGGGGTGGGCATAACGGTTCGGTTTGACCGAACCGAACCGTACCAAACCAAATTAAACTGAACCGAAACCGAACCATTTGTAATTTGGTTTGAGTTTGGTAGTATTCCTCCCAACCCATATTAAACCGAACCAAACCGAACCGAAATCATAAAACCGAATAAAATCGAATAAAACCGAACTAATCTAAAAATGAAATAGTTTCTTATTTTTTTAAAATAACAATTCAAAAACAACTTACACCAAACTAAACCAAACCAAAATATAAGATTTCTCTCATTAATTTGATTGATGCTAATCTTTTTGAAGCTTTAATTATTTAATTTTAGTGTCCAAGACTAGAGTTTACTACAAGAGTTACATTGACAACTATAACAATTATAGTGGTTTAAGTAGATAGTATTTAACTATAATTTATTATATACTACTACTGTATATTTGGTTCATTACTTACAAGCACTAGTTTTGTTTTTGTTTCGGCTTTATATATAATTTGATTCATTTCCGTTGTTGTTGTTGCTTACAAATGTGTCATGCTTATATATTTTTGGTTCATATGTGTTTTGTTACTGTTTGCAAATTTATATCTAACATTATATTTGGTTCATTACTATCGCTTCTTGGTTCATTATTTTGAGTTATTTTTGTTCAATCCAAACCTTAATACTTTGGTAAACCGAACTCCAAACTGAACCGAACCATATCAAACCTAAACCAAACCGAAACTTAATCGGTTTGTATTTGGTACATTTTATATCAAACCGATTAAATCAAAACCAAACCGAAACTGAAGAAAACCGAACCGAAAACCGAAATGCCCACCCTAATTTGACCCGTGCGAATTCGGGTTCAGATACCGGCCCATGGATGTGAGCCCATCAGGAATTTTTAACCTAGACTAGACTAGATTTTGTTTCTTGGAATGAATCTTCCATCTCAATTTTGTTTATTTGTTAGTTCCGTTCACAACGCAGCTAGCCTACTCATACACACACAAGTGAAGAGCGCATTATCGATCTCTCCTCAGACGTCCACACCGCATTATCGTTCCCTCTCGCACCTATCGGCCTCAACTTCGAAGGATTTCCGCTATTAAGTATCAAGGTCTGTATTCAACTGTTCATAGTGTTTGGGTTTAAGCGCCCTTGTGTAATGTTTTCTTCGTCACTGAATTGAATATGCCCCGGGCTAATCCAGTAGTATTCAAGCCTCGGGTTTCACCTGTTTCAATGGATTTTAGCGCCGTACAAGTGTTAAATGAATATGCTCATTGGATATCGATTGTTGTAAAATCTGTTTCACATTCTCATCTTCTTCCCGATGGTAATGTTTGAATCCTATTTTAACCGTTCATATAGGTCTCCAGTTTTCCATTTTGGGAACTCTAAATATCGTTCTTTAGGTGTTCAATCTGAGTTCATTAGTGCCCTTCTTTAGTGGCTTTTCTCTTTGCCTGCCTTTCATCTTCTTATGTTTATATCATCATTATTATTATTATTGTTATTATTATTATTATTATTCTTATTATCTTTGGTATTATTATCATAATAATAATTATTATTATATCAATAATTATAATTATCAATTGTATTTATAATTATAAATTATGCTCTCTTATTTTTTCTTCCCACCTTGATTTGGCACACTTATTAAGAAAGTGGAAGACTATGTTTGTGGAATTGTGGCTGATGTAGAAAAAGGGGAATACCTTTTACCACACAAACCATCCTTCATAAGGAGTTAGAAAGAAAGTTTTGTTGCATCTCAAAAAGGAAAGTGGGAAGACAAATATGAGGTGGAAGGATTTTTATACTTACATTATCATAATGTAAATATATTTTTGCATTATAATAACTTTATCTAGTATGGTTTTATCTTTACAAAATGACCCAAACATATTACACTCAAAACTTTAAAGGTAAGGCCTTAAGGGTGGACTTGATTCGGAACTGGAAACTGCAGCTCTGGATCCCAAACGGGACCAGAAATGGGGAACCGGTGTCGAACCAGAACTGGAAATGGGGATGTGAGTAGAACTGGTGGGATAAGGTTCTAGTTGAGGTTTTGGACTTAGGAGGCTGCAGCAAGCAATTTCTGTTCTATTTCCAAATTCTTTTATTGTTGATTTCCAGTACTATATTGGGGGGGGGGGTTGAGATTTGGTATAAAAAATGATCATGAACCGCTGCAATCTGATCCAAAACCATACCCTGCTGGAACTGCTTCCCATTGTGGTTCACCCATTCATAGAATTCAGAACCAGCAGTTCTTGAGGATAAGTCTGGTCCATATCCATCCCTATGAAGGGCGCTTTGTTTGGTGCTTTCTATTGGAATTACATTCATAGTAGTCAATGGCTAGATTTGGCGAGCGCCATATGCGCCATCGCCATGAAAAAGTGGTTGTCGCCATAGCGCCTTATGCGCCATTCGTATATGCGCCATCGCCATGCTCCATGAAAAACGCCTTTACGCCATGGCGATCGCCATGCACCATGACAACTATGATTACATTCCATTTAATCACACTTTCTTGTTCAAATGACATATCAAACAATGGAATCACTTTCTTATACCGAACGGCTCTTGGCTCTTCAACTACAACTTAGTTTCTTTACTTTGTCAACTTCCGACCCACATGACACTTATTGAATCTCTCTCTACTTTTCTTCTCAACGCATTGCATATACTATGAGCCCGTTTGGTAATGCCAAAATTGGTAGATTCTGCTGAAATTTATGAAGTCATGGTTGAAGTGGCTGCATTTGCTTATTCTGCTGATTTATGAATAAAATATATTTAAAAAGTATTTTGTTAATAAAATAAAGAAAAAATTATATGAGAAATAGTTAAAATGGTCCTCTACAATAACTTTAGTCAATGCGGCCATAAAACTAACTCCGGCCTTACCTTTTCTTATTATTACACAATTCAGCGCGTAAAATCAAAATTTACGTGTTTGGTGTAAATATTTGATGATAAACCTGATAAGCTAAAAATAGGGTTACCAAACGGGCTCTATATCTCTCTCAAGTTGCCTATCCACTTTTGAGTAGACCCCATCAGGTTTTGAAGTTTTCTATATTCAAGTGTTTTTTTACTCAATTTAATTTGTGATTTCCATGTTTACTTTCATAACTTGGAGATATGATGAATGCAATACATGCTTATAGACATTTAGTTCTAATTAGAGATCTTAGAACATTTATATCCACGTGAGTAATTTAAAGTTTTTAATGTGTCATAGTTATAACTTATATGTGGCGTGTTAATGTGTCATAGTTATGAATCATGTTATATAATGTTAACAAATAAGAAATGCTATGGACAGTCTCTTCTCGAGAGGTGGTCCAAAAACTCTCCATTTTATTGTTGGAACATGTCATGGACCACCTATTTAGTTGTTCAATCAACATTTTGCACCAATCTAGTGGGAGCTTTTGAACAGTTCTCTTTAAGAGATGGTTCATAGCACTCATCTTTGACAAATATCACTTTCCTTGTTCATAAGCTCAGTGTATTGATTGATGATCCTCTTGGTGTGGAAGATCATAGAAAGTAGAAACTATAGAATCTACAAAAGATATGTTTATGTTTTGTATCTCTGGTCATACATAATTCTGAATATTGAGATATTTGTATTGGATTTATGGTGGTTTCTTGCTTCATGAATAATCTGTTGTTGTTTTTAAGATCTAGTAATGCTAGTATAGAATAAGGTTTGTATATATTAGTGTTATCATTGTTAATATGAGGTGTTTCTCTTGATTATGCAGAATGGCTTTCTTCAGTAAATCTGGGAACATACTGAGGCAGGTGATTAGCAAGCCGCAAATAAACCATGGGATCTCAGCATCCAGTCCTTTAGTTTTTCAGATCCCGCGATTTATGTCTTCTTCAAAACTCTTTGTCGGAGGTATTTGCTATTCATTTACAGGAACAATTATGATTGTATTCATTATAATATCTGCTGATATTTATTTGATTTGGTATCATAGGTATATCATGGGGTACAAATGATTCAAGTCTTACAGATGCTTTCAGTAAATATGGAGATGTTGTTGAAGGTATAATATTTAGTTTTTTATTTTAATATAATATGGTGTCCCTGTCAATGAGCATCCCATTTTAGTGTTTTATTTTAATATAATATGGTGTCCCTGTCAATGAGCATGCCATTTTGGTGTTCATTGGCAATTGGAAAAACTAGACTTCAACCCATAAGTCCATAATCTTCGAAATAAGGTGTTTTAGTAGTAGAGCCACACATAAAAGTGCGCAATATTAATGATATGCCAATGATAGACGGCAAATTCCAAACACCCCCTTACATTTTTATAGTTTGGCCTTTCTATATTGTATGTTTTCTCTTTGGTACTCACATGTGAAGAATTCAAGTACTTATTATATATCAAGAAAAACCTATTATGCCTCCAATCAAAATTTTAGAGCATTTTTAACTTGTTATTTAATTAAAATGTTCTATTGAGTTTTATTTTTTACAAGGTGCTTTTCCAAGTATGCTCTACACATGCTTTTGTAATGTATTTAGTTTGCAGTATAAGTTTGACGACAACCTTCCATTTAAAAGTGAGAAACTATTGCGCAAAAATAATTCTTAATTACGATTACCACTTGTGGCAGCAAGAGTCATAACTGACAGGGAGACAGGAAGATCCAGGGGGTTTGGATTTGTTACCTTCAACAGCGTGGAGGATGCCAGTGCTGCAATTCAGGCATTGGATGGACAGGTTATTTGTTTACTATTTTTTTAATATCTTGGTGCGTTTGGGCTATGTTTAGAATCCATAAATTGTTGGGAAATGCGTAAAGTACCAAGGAAAACATGTCTTTGATGTTTGGTTTTACTAGTTTATGAAGGGAAATTGAATTTGATCAAAACTTTTAAAATATTACATTTAAATTTAGATTTAGTCTCAATAGAATATAAATATTTAGATAAAATAAGTTGAACCTATGTCTAGAACTGACTTATCGAGTATAATCAATTTTGTATTTCCTCTCCTTTTGTTTTCTTCATAGTTGGTCTCCCCCCTCTATTTTCTATCTGAAGCACTTTCTGAGCTTCAAACAAGACCCTAAGGCTATGTTCGATTGTTTGTGGCACAAAGGTGATAGAGAAAGGGAAATATAAAGGAAATTGGGGTTTTTAGCTGTGTTACAAGAACCGGACTGGACCACGCGGTCTTACTTGGAAACCAGCCACACCCGGCTCCAAATCTGGTCTGGGAGAGAGCTAGCCCACTATTAAGCATAAAACCGGAATTTACCGGTGGCTCGGCAAAAAGCGGACTGGGCATGAAATGGGTGAAACCTGAGAGTTCGAAGAAAACCGGTTAATAAGCATATTCTATATTAAATACTGTTCCAGCAGGGGAAGGATTCGAATCCTGGTCGTCTGCGTGAACGCAACACCAACTCAGTTATGTTGTCAATGTGCCCTATGTCTTCATTAAGGATCTTTATACGTTATTATACGTTACGTTATTAACACTTTTAGCCTCAATGTTTCTTTTAAACAACCGTATTAATTACTAATTAATTTAATCAAAATAATAACTATTACTATGGCTATTTTTATACTTGTTAACTTGTAAACTATTGATGAAATATTCATAACAACCATAGTTGTCATGGCGCATGGTGCAACCCATGGCGCACAGGCCATTTTCCATGGCGATGGTGATGGCGCAAATATGGCGTCGCCACGTGACAAAAAAACCTTCAAAACGAATAATAGATACTGCAATTCATCAACCCAAGTTTACCCAACCACCAAAACATGATAAAATAGTTCAAAGTACTTCCAAAAAACATAATATTCAAAAAAAAAGTTTCTGTCTTGCAATATATGTTAGGATTTAGGCTTGTTAGCTTGTTTTTGTTTGATGATTATGGCATAATCATCATCAATCATCAGACTCCTCATCATCTTGGTCTGAATCTGATAGCAATGCCTTTCTGTCGGTTGTCGCAGAGCTTTTCTTGCGTTGCAGCAGCTTTAACTTCTCACGTGTTATCACTTTGTTGTGTTTATTTATTTGTAGTTAGGGTTGTTGTTAGTATTATGGGCTAAAATAGTAAGTTTTTGTTAGAGTTTTATTGCTGTTATGGGTCGCAGATTGTTATGGCCTAAAAGTCCACAACTTACAGCTCAAAAATGCGGACCCATTTTGTCAAAAAAACATTCGCATCGCCATGGCGAAGGCGCAGGAATGGCGACGCCATGTGTATACACCTCTCCACAGCCCCTTTTCATAGCGCAGAGGGTTTTTCGCGCCACATGGTGCATGGCGCGCTCGCCATATTGCGCCATCTACTACCATGATAACAACAATCTAATTCATTTATTCTTAAAAATATTATTAAATTTTTGGTGACTAGTGAGTAATTTTTATCCATGCAACTTTAATCGAATACATAAAAAAATATATTTATATTTTATATTTCAATAAATATTAACCGGGTTCTCTCATTGTTGACTGGGTTGACTCTTGCCCCGGTCACTCGTCCGGGTCACCTCCCGCTCCGTTTTTTACAACATAGAGGTTTTAGTGATTGGGTTTCCTTGGAAATATGAAAGGAAAATAATGATTCGCCCCTTCAGGTTAGGTCATAATGATTAAGTCAATCTTGTATTTTTAGAACCAACCCTCTAAGTTTTATTATAGTTGGATCCTCCCATTAATTTTAAGTTGTTTGACTGTTAATTGTGAAAGGATTTTTGAAAATGACCTCTATTAAACTGAACTATAAAATAAGAATTTACTAGGCTCATTCCATCAGCATTTGAACAATTTTTGGCACGATACTTCCTTGAGGGAGATTTTGATATGACTCATAAATACTTCCTGTTTTCCCCTCTAAATGATTTCATCTAAAGGACATAAACACTTTGTTTGGGTTCACATTTTTTAATTTTTGAAAATATGTTATACAGCCTCACAAAAAATTAATGCGTACTTTTAATAATTACCTGGAGTCCTGGACCTATAGAGCTTGTGCCTATAGATTAAAGATTACTCGTTTGCTTCATTTCCCATATGGCCATACTTCTGCATCCTGAAAAATACACCAAGGAACTTTGTATTTTGTCTCTTTCTAGTATAAGAACTAGGGCTGAAATACCACCAAAGTTTTATGCATTGTGTTGTGCAAATTGGTATTTGTTTATCACTGAAACCTTTGCCAGAAGGCCTCAGAGCTCAATCTGTTAGAACTTTCGCATGTATCCTAAAAATTGATATTTGCGGGCAAAGTTAGTTACTAAATGTTCCTCAACTTTTCACTTTTTCACTGATCTATATTCTATACTGTGATTTCGGGAATCACACCCAAATGCATATTCTTCAAAATTGGTAACCAAATTTCCTTTAGCCACTAGTTCAGTTGTTGTGCATCGGCTACTAAATAGAATACACATGTATATCCAAAAAAGTAATGCAGACACTCTCATAGCTATATAGTTGGGGAAACTCTTCAAATAGTCTAATGTTAGGTTCCATCCTCCAACAATATGAGCTGTGCAAGTAAAAAAACACACCCTAATATTCCCAGAATAGTACATTATCTACTTTGAAAATGATCTACGCAAGATGTAACAGACCTAGCCCATACTAGGCCCGTAACAAGACCCTAAACCCAGGTCACCAGGTGTAGAACTCATTCTCAAAAGACTAGCCGATTAGGAGGATGAAACAACTAGCTTATAAGCCACTGGTCAATCCCATACTTGATCGGTGTGGGATCGTTACAATACCCCGTGCTTCGAAGAGCCAACATCCTCATTGGTCACGACCATGTTGGTCACGGTTGGCATCCCCAGGGTCCAAACTAGCACTCCATAGGCCACCACTCTGAGTGCTGGGACTAGGAAGATGGGGATGTCCATGATACCATTTGTTATGGACCTAGCCCGTACTAGGCCCATAACAAGGCCCTAAACCCAGGTGTAGAACTCACTCCCAGAAGACTAGCCGATTTGGAGGAGGGACACCTAGCTTATACTTGATCGGTGTGGGAGCGTTACACAAGATTTACTAGGAAGCAAGGAAAAAGCATAACACATAAGCTGATCACAACACCTCATGATTAGGAATACTTCTGGGACTAGGAAGATGGGGATGTCCATGATACCATTTGTTATGGACCTAGCCCGTACTAGGCCCATAACAAGGCCCTAAACCCAGGTGTAGAACTCACTCCCAGAAGACTAGCCGATTTGGAGGAGGGACACCCAGCTTATACTTGATCGGTGTGGGAGCGTTACACAAGATTTACTAGGAAGCAAGGAAAAAGCATAACACATAAGCTGATCACAACACCTCATGATTAGGAATACTACGGAGTCATCCACTCTCTATGCTTTAACTCATTCCAATAATTGAAAACGGATTCGGATTCCAATTTTTTTAAGAAAGATCAAATTGTATAAGAGTATCCAACAATCCAAAATATTGCAGTCCACAACAAAAATAACATCCAAGCCTTGATCCAATTCCATAAAAAATAAACATAAAGAAGCTGTGACTACAAAGTGCAGCTTAGCAAAAGTAGTCTTAATAGTTCCACAAAACAGCTTAGCAAAAGTAGCCTTACAAGTGCAGTCAACCAAAACAAGCTTAAACCTAACACAAACAAGGTTAATAAAAAACGGTCCAAGTCCACCTCTCCGCCTTAGAATTTCCTTAACCCCTCTCCTAAATGTGTGACTAGAAGTGATGCCTGCATAGTGCATGCTTTGGATTAAAAGTGACTAAATGTGTTGTTGGCATACTGCCCTCTGGTTTCTATAACAGAAACAATCAAGAATTAAAATATATATTGAATTTGTTTATGAATTTGTTTATGTAAATTAAGAATTATTTAATACTTGCTCTTTCTAGAAGTTGAAGGTGGCCGTTCACCCACTTCTTTTCTTCTATTAAGCCTAGATCTCCCATCCAATCTTTTATGTGATGGTGGCCTCAAGTCTAAAGATGGATCCACTGCGTCAAAATCAAATTGAGCCATAGGATGTATTGCACTACTTTATACCATCACATACTTCTCAATTGAATAATAGTCATCCCATTAGTTTTCTATTTTTTCTGTCTTATATTCAATGCAAAGTGCAGCGTGTTTACAGGACATTCTAGAGATATCCCACCATTTGCAACTGCATTTTTTTGTTGCTGACTTAACTGCAAATGTAGCTTTGCCTTCTTTCAATTCAAATTCATCATTTCTCCTTGGAATTAATCTACTAACAGTGATGATTCTGTTAAAGAACTTTCCTAGCCTCAGATGATATTTTACCCTCCATCAATGTTCGTAATTGCGTATTGCGTAATCATGGCGGATTTTTAGAATTGCATATTGCGTAAGCCTCATTGCGCAATGAGGCGTATAGCTGAGGCGTAAATATATATATATATATATATATATATATATATATATATATATCAAAAAGCATTATTCAAGAGAAACCAACAAATAAATAACTGAAAAAAAATATTGATAAGTTGAAACTTAATCAAAGGATAATAATAAAATATTAATAGTCAGAAAATTAACATTACTAATTAGTGTTTAAGTGAATAGAAACAAAAAGGCATCAAAAGAAAAGCATAAAAAAGCATAAAAAAGGTAGTACAGAGTTGAAGTTATCATTATATAATATATATATATATATATATATATATATATATATATATATATATATATATATAAACTGGGAAAAAATTATTGG